CATAGCTGTAAAATAGCTGTACATTGCTGTTCATTATTGTTATTATTTTCTTGCCTGGTCTGTTATACTCCTGCTTTGAGTGAAACCATCCAGTATTTTTCCGTTTCTTTGTGGCTTATTTCTCTTAGGCATGATCTTTTCCAGCTCCATCCACGTTGCTGCACAAGGCATGTGTTTATTTTTTGTTGTTGTTGCTGTGTATATGTACTACTTTTAGGTATTTGGGCTGTTTCCATATCTTTCCAATTGTGAATAAAGCAGCAATAATCATGGGAGTTCAGGTATCTTTTTGAATCAGTGTTTTTGTGTCTTTTGGGTAGATACCTAGGAGTGGATTGCTGGATCGTAGGGAAGCTCCATGTTAAGCAGTTTGAGGAAACTCCAAACAGTTTTCCATAGTGGTTGTACTAGTTTGCATTCCCACCAGCAGTGCAGAAGAGTTCCTTTGTCTCCACATCTCACCAACATTTGTTGCTAGTTGTTTGAAGATGTGCCATTCTCACTGGGATGAGGTGGTATTTCATTGTAGTTTTAATTTGCTGTGCCCTTATTACAAGTGATGTTGAAATTTTTTTCACGTGCTTGTTGGTCATCTGCATTTCCTTTTTGGAGAAGTGTCTTTTTAGCTCTCCTGCCGACTTGTTGAAGGGGTTGTTAAGTTTGCAATTGTTGAGTTTCATCAGTTCTTTGTATTGCTTTGTGATCAATCCTTTATCGCTAGTTTTGTGTAAGAAAAAATTTTCCCAACCTATGGGATGTCTGTTTGTTTTCTGTAATTTCTCTTTTGCTTTACAGAAGCTCTTTAACTTGATGTAGTTACATCTTTTATCCCTGCCTTCACTCTAGTTGTATTGGGTGCTGTATCATCAAAGATGTCGCTAAAGTGTATGTTGAGTACTGTTTGGCCCATCTTTGCTTCCAGATATTTTATGGTTTCTGTTCTTATGTTTAAGTCTTTAATCCACTTTGAATTGATTTTTGTGTATGGTGTGAGGTAGTGATCTAGTTTCATTTTTTTGCATTGTCACTTCCCAGTTTTCCTAGCACCATTTTTTGAACACACTTTCTTTGTTCCATTGTACCTTCAATGATCCTTTGTCAAATATTAGCTTCCCATAAACCTGGGCTTATATATGTGTTTTCTATTCGAATCCACTGGTCTGTGAGTCTGTTCTTGTTCCCATACCATGCAGTTTTGATTATTATGACTTTGTAGTATAGCTTGAAGTTTGGGATAGTAATGCCTCCATTCACTTTCTTCTTAGTAATGAGAATTTTGGCTATTCAAGGTCTTTTTTTGGTTCCATATTAACTCATTAATATATTTTTTTATTTCTTTGAAGAATGTCAGTGGTACTTTTAGTAGTGTGACCATCTTGATGATGTTAATTCTCCCGATCCATGAGCAGGGCATGTCTTTCCATTTCATGGTGTCTTCTTGTATTTGTTTTAACAGCGTTTTGTAATTTTCTTTGTATAGGTCTTTTACCTCTTTTGTTAAGTTGATTCCCATGTATTTGATTCTTTTTGTTTTAATTGAAAGGGGATTTTTTTTTTTAATTTCGGCTTCTTCTGATTGGTTGTTTGTGTACTGAAAGGCCTCTGAGTTTTGTGTGTTAATTTTATATCTTGCTACCTTACTAAACTGGTTGATGGTTTTGATTAGTTCCTCTGTGGAGTTTTTAAAGTCTTCCATGTAAATTAACATATCATCCGCAAATAAGGACAGTTTTACGTCTTCTTTCCCTTTTTGGATTCCTTGTGTATCTTTTTCCTATCTTATTGTTCTGGCTAGAACTTCCAATCTTATGTTGAAGAGCAGTGGTGATAGTGGACACCCTTGTCTTGTTCGTGATCTCAAAGGA